TAAAGCCACTTTAGGATCAGATCTGATTAACAACAGATGAAGCTTAGAAAAGAGGAGAGTTGGTCATTAGGCATCTGGTATGAAAGACTGAGTATTGCAGTCACAAGTTCATGTTCATTCTCTTCTGATACTTTGTCATGCCATATGTACTTCTGTGTCCTCTCTTAGTTATTGTCGCTTGTTACTTGGGATAAGCCTTGTCTGCAAGAGACAAGGCAAAAGGCAAAAAACCCCAACCTCTCCACCCCAGCAAACCCCCCTTGTACATCCTTTAGTTGATGCTTACAACCAGGAGGCAGTCTCTAACCATCCAACTCTTCTGATGAGGCAGATATTTAAGTCTCTAAGGTTGCCAGACCAAAGCCCATTTATGATTTCATATTGTTACTCGGCAAATGGAGCTGTTGGCCAGTGGCAGTCCTTGTAAGGCTGGTAAGTACTTCTGAGGTGATTTCATACTAGTCATGATTTCATTGCTGACAGGTTCTGTCTTGCTCTAACAGGATACAACAATACAATCCTGATGTTGAGCCCATCTATCCTATCCCTGTCCTGTTCTTGTTGTTAGATTGGGAACATACATTTCTACTCTAACATTTCAAGGTTTTCACCTTACCAACTTTGCCAATGCTTATTACTCTTCCTCTGATCTTAGCAACTGCCAAATGTCACTGCTTCTTGATTTCGTGCTGCTAAATGCCAGGGAATGGTAGCTACTGTAAGCAGTGTTTGAAGCAATAAGATGAGGTGCTAAACAATACCCTGCTGTTACTTATGGGAGATGAAAACCATTGTGGAAGCTCAGGGCAAAGACTGTGAGATATTTATAGAGTGTTTGATTTGCTACCAGTGAATGGTTTCATAAAAAAAAATTATTAGTCCATATTGTCACAAAACTACAGTGCACTTTTACCTTGATCAGTCTGTGATACAATTCTTGCATAGAAATTATCTTAACGGGCTACATGCTGTTAAATGGCAATGAAATTATTGTAACCTAGAAGTGCTTGTGTCCTCAGAAAATTACAGCATTTTTCTTCAGTGTAGTGCTGTAGGCAGTAATGTGATGTCCAAAGCAACCACAAGTGACTTGGGTACCTGTTTTTGGGCACTGATATTTTTAAAGAAATGTGGGCTCTTGTTTCCGTTAGGTTGCCTTGAAAGTCACAGTTAAAGGCTCTTGAAGCTCATGGAGGTCCTTTTATGCCTTACGTATACGTTATCAGTTTATCAAAGTCTTACTTGATAAACTGTTCAAAATGTTGGATGAATATGTAAACATGCAGAAAATGTAAGGCCAAAAAGCTAATACTAAAATTTCATGTACTAATACGAAGTAAGCTTCCTAAGTTGCCCACCCGCTACCAGGGGACAATATGTGATTGAGCGTGTATTTTCAGGCATAATAGAAAATGTCTAGAAACCAGTTTTCTTTATCCAAGGACTACATTCATTTCTAATAACATCTAGTCATTTAAACAAGCTTGTGCTGGCTTATGAATAGTAATAGACTGTACTTTTGGTTAGGACGGAGGAACATAAATCACTAAGTGTCAGGCAGCTTAGAAACCAGTATGTCCTCATGATTGTTTAATAGAGTACAAAGGGAATTGCCTTCAAGCTTGTGAAATCTCGTATCCAGTTGCCCATTGGTGATGCTTCAAAAAAAAAAAAGAAGAGAATTGTTCTCTTATGAGTCTTGGCATAAAAATTTAATTAGCAGCTGAGCTCTTTCTGAAGATGAAAAAAAAAATGATTTCTTTTTATATAGTCACTTTCCTTGAACTGTTTACTTTGGATTTCTGTATTGTTCACACAGACAAGATCTGCTGCCTTCTATGTTTATTTTCTTTTCTCCTTCAGTAGTGATTTTGAAATTATTTTACCTGGTTTCAGCCATTAAATTTTGGGGGTTTTTTTGCATTATGCTTCAGCATATTTGAGCACTGTTCTTGGAAGACATTCAGAACACAAGTCAGAGGAAGAAATGGATACATAATCAATATGTAGTGGATACAAAGCTGCTGTTATTAAATAAAATAATAATAATAATAAATCTTACTTTAGAATTGTATACATAGCAAATATATACTAATCAGAAAATCAGTCCTCAATTGGAATCGGATACTATTTGTGTTATTTATTATAGTTTAATCTCTTTAGCTCATGTTATTTTGCTCTTAAAGAAGTTAAATCTTACAGCGTAGCACGTATTTGTGGTGTCATAGCAGATTCCTGTCAGAACTGTGAATTTGATTTGTATTTATTTCTCAGATTTAAACAACTATACTTTAATCTTATGTTTTTTTACATCATGAGCAGACAGGAAACAAAAGAACAAGAGCCCCAAACCTTTAACTCTGTTGGCATTTGCTCATTATGTCAAATGTCTTAATGTCAACTTAATTAAATCGCTGGTCTAATGTGACACGTTTTTCAAATGTGCAGCATTGCACGGATGTACTGTGATCACTTTGAAACATAAATGTGTATTATTTGCTGTTTGCATTACTAGAAATGCTTCAAGGCCTAGATACATCAAAGAACGTGTCTTTGCTTCAAGGCGTTCCCTGGCGTATCCTTCGGTCCCAGTGCTTTGAAAACTAACTCAAAACAGTCTAACTAGCAAATATCTGAGGGAATATGTCAGAAAAGACATGACTGCCTGAAAAATGTAGTCACTGAAACTCAGCTGGCTGCTTTAACTTCTTGTATGCCCAGACATGCATGTGCTTATCTATTTATTGATGTTTAGATGACATGGTGAAGTACGTCCTGGCCATGGATCCTGTGTACATCTTCATAACAAATGTTAAGTCCTGGACAGCTGTGAACTTTGCTGTTCAGCTCTCCCAGGTGACAGATGTTGGATGCCTTACCCAGGCCTGTGACTCTACTTGGCAGCTGAACCCTTTCGATCAGCGGTTAATTGCTTCTACTTTCTGTCAATATCTTTAAAGACTGAAAATAAAAATAATATAGCTTAGGACTCTCAGTTGAAATTCGAAAACAAAGTTGCTTGCATTGTCTAGAAATCAGTCTTTATTTTTCTAGCTGAAGGGAAAATATGTAAAATGAATTTTTCACATATGAGGTGGTTTATTTCCTGGAAATTATCTTCTTCAGAAATGTTTCCCTCTTGCATGTCTTACACAAGCCATTGTTTCTTAACCTTAAGAAAGATAAAAGTTTTCATTTTGAAAACACTGAAACAAAGTGTTTTGGCAATTCTGAAATTCACCTTCGCACCTTCTTTGGAGAGCAGGGTCAGACCCTGTATTTGAAGAAGCTGAGTATGATAGTAAATACTCTCCTTACAATACCAGACTCCTTAAGTTTCCGGAAGAATCTGGTTGTCCCTGTGGGTCAGAAAGGGAAATACAACTATCAGTACAAGTGACAAGACTGTGTTTGACTTGTTTGGTCCTCAGATTTAATTGTTTTCCTTTAGAAAGTAGAGGTCAGTTGAGCTCTTTGGAGTAGGCTGAGTTTTGTGCCTTCTGCCTAGTGGGAGTGTGAGTGTGCTCAGGGAAAGGGGATCCGTAGTAGCATGTGCTGGGAACGTGGGAGACTGGAGCTAATGCAGAGATTGTAGACTACAGTGGGAAAATGAAGAACAGCTGGTCAGTCCTCACATGGGATAAAAAGAAGGATTTCCTAAGACCCAGAAGACTGGATAAGGCTTGCTGTTATTTAGGAAATCGCTGACCTGGCAAGATTTGAGGACTTGTTTTCACATGGGAGAGTTGCATATATATGGTTTAATTTTACTCTGCTTTACAGATTGCTTTGAGCTTTTTCTGTTACAAAGACAATTGTAGCAGTTACTTGTATAAAACATGGGTTTGGAGGGTTTTAAAGCCCTTGGCTTTGGGAAATTTAAAGTAAAAAAAAAATCTTTGGGCCACTACACCTCTGTGTTCTGGCTCTATGGGCTTATTAGATAAGACCAGCCTGCAGAAAACTGGTCCCTGTGTCTTCTCTCAGCAGCCATTCTTCCAGTCCTAGTAAACTAGTCCTGAAATGAGTACAGTAAAGGCAAAACTTCCCAGGAAGTCTGATACGACTTCAAAGCTAAGAAAAGTTAAAGGCCAGTGAAGAACTTAGTGGAAAAAAAGAAAGAGTATGCCTTAAATGAAGAGAGACAATTTATGTAGTCCTAAAAACCTTTTGAAACTTCTTACTACAGTCAAAGATTGCAAATCCTGCTTCCTCTTTCAGTGCTGGACAAGAGTTACCCACACAAATTTATTTTCTATATAAAACTTTAACTTCAACATTTAATTTTGATGCTCTTCATTTCAAAATAACGTAATTAATATACAGAACTTTGGGGTTTGGTTGGTTGGTTTGTTGTTATATTTTGGTTGGTTTGTTTTTTAAGAGCCAAATGACATGAGAATGAAGTTGAAACAATCAGTTTTGGTAGAATGAGACAGTTCTGGTAGAGCTAGATTATTCTTAAGCTTGATAGCCAAATATAATACTGGCAATCTGAAAAAAAGAAAAAAAAAAAAAGAAAAAAATGCGTTTCTTTGAGCCCATCCTGTTTTAGGAGTGAGTCTCTTTTGGAGATATTCCCTGAAGTTATCTGTTCTTTCTATCAGTAGAAGGAATTGTCTGGGCTTCTTCTTTCTCCCCGCTTTGTGATCCTGCAAATACAACTGTCATACTTCAAAGTCTGAATCTTGACATTTGAAAGACACATTTTATATTCAATATCTGGTATATAATTTGTTCAGTGTAAAACATCTGCTGTGTGATTTTTCTAACCCCACAATATTCTTTGCACACTTTTCCCACAAAAAACTAAAATTACGATTTATAAAAGTTCCATAAGCTTTACTGTGGAGAATAAAGTGGTAGCATATAGGCTATTAAAAATCATTTTCCTAAGGGTGTATTTATGAAGGTTGTATAACTAAAAAGCAGTGAGGTGGGATAGCAGTGTATTATAAGGATAATTCATGCATGTTATACCATAACTAATTTTGTGAGAAGCTTTAAATCAGCGGGACTCTCCTGGGTTTTTCAGCCATCGTTTCAAATTGTGAAAAAAAAATAATTTATCTTTAATTGTTATTTTCAGTTTTACAGAATTTTTGGATCCATTCCAGCGGGTTATCCAGCCGGAAGAGATCTGGTTGTATAAAAATCCTTTGGTGCAATCAGACAACATACCTACGCGTCTTATGTTTGTGAGTACTAAAGGTTTATTGGTCGTTTGATGGCTGTTTGATGGTCATTTGGTAAGCGGTAGGAAATTTCTCAGAAGTACAGGGTGTTCCTTTAATTCTAATGACAATTGTTTTCCAAACCAGGGATGTCCAAAATGACAAACTGTAGGAATTCATAGGGTGTTTGTAAAAAGCAGCATTACCAGGTGACTGAATTTTATGAATGTTGATTTTACAGTTTCAGATTTAAGCTCGTGTTAACTTAGAGTGATGCTAGAGAAATGATTAGAGCAGCTTTTCGAATTAGCTGGTTAGGTGACCTGACAAAACCTTGCCATGCTCTTATTAGGTTAAATGCTTTAATTTTTAAATCCGATTTGTTTCGGCATGTTAGGCACTGAGACATTTGCCTCCAAATCTTTTTTTTTTTTTTTCATGTAGATAAAAACCTTTGTTATAGCTTCTGTCAACAAACATACTAAATATATCATAGAGCTGCTCCGCTGTCACCGCTCTGGCGCTCTCCAGCACAGCTCACGTTGACATGCTGTCTGATTTTGATGGTTTGTGTGGTTATCAAAATTCATAGTTTTGATAACCTTCACTAGCAATGATTAACAATTGTAATAATCTACATATATAAGAGTGCAATAAAGATAGACCACTACAGGAATACTAGGAAATTATGGGCATAGTTCAGGGTATTAAAACAAGTAGGTCAGTCTTTGCTTCATCAGTCAAAGTGGAGATTTTCCAGGAGTGAGCATGGCAGATGAGGTCAGATCCTAGTACCCTTACGTCAAAGCATCTTTTTCTGTGTCTGAAGCCAGGATTTTACTTTTCTGATTAAGGCTTGAACTCAGAATAAATGCAAATCAGATGTGTCATTTCTCTTCAATTTTGTTTTTAAAAGGCTCAGACCTTCAGTTATGGAAAATTTTTAATTAAGTAAGGAACAGCTTGAAGGTGCTTCCTATTTATGAGGCAACAATATATCCCAGCCTTCTAAGGCAGAGACGTGAAGGCCTGGTTTTAAATTCACCAACATATTGTTTGTTGCATTAAGAAGAAGCTCTATTAAGGACTTTTTCAGCCTGGATGGGTGAAAAGATACATTTTTCCTGAAATGGAAGACAGCTGTGTAAAAAAAAAAAATACCACCCCCACCCCCACCCCCCCCCAACCCAAGAGTTAGATTGTGCTGGGAAAGACTGAGTTTAATTCTGTCATTTTTCCTTAGGCTGAGCATTACCTTGCTACAGGCTTTCTCCGATCTGTGTTTGTAACTGAAAGGTTCAAGAACCAATAGTGAATCATTGTACAGAGTTTTGCTGCAGTGGTGAACCTACTTGTGAAACCAGTTGGTGTAATCACTAGTCCATCCTCTGTGGTCTAGGCACTAGCTACTGGGAAGCACAGTGCTGGGATATAAGTATAGTACTTTTTCTCCTAACCTTTCCCATAGAGCCAGCTTTTGGTATACTTCATGGCACATGGAACTTCCAGACAGCTCCGAGTCCATAATGTTTTTATATCAGTGTTCTCTTTCTGGCTCAGACCACTGACATGTCAGTGACTCAGTGAACAGCTTCTTAAATTAAGAAACGTATATAATTTCTAAATGTTTTTCTTCTTTAATCAAAAAGAAAAATCCAACTCTAGCACTGATCACAAGCTTTCATTATGTAAAGAATTTCTTGCCACTAGTGTTGTACTCTGGTATTGAAATATATGGCTATGGCTTATCAGAAAGTGATCTCTAAGACTTTATGAACTGCTGGATCATTTTATATACTGAGAGATTTGAATTCAAGAGAAGTGTGGTGAATACTCCAAACACAGATCCAAATTCGACGAAGCTGACTTCTGCGTGGGTATCAAGCAAGCCACAAGGGCTGGAAAGACCTGAGCCTTGTTCTGGCTCGCTCTCAGTGGATATTCCTTTTCTTGGAAAGTGTGAGGTACTGTCAGCTTCTCTTGAATGCATCATGGAAGTACGTGGGAGTCCCTATAACTTTAGCATATCTCTGGCTTGCCAGGATGAATAATGAACGAGAGAGATTTCGTCCATGTTTCACAAAAGCAAGGCAATGTTGGAATATTTCACTGCTGGAAAAGAAAACATTACTGAGATGCATCTGAGGAGAGTATTGCTCATTAGACTGTTGCCAAATCAGTTATGGCTATGAGCCATACAGAATCTTTTTGCAGAAATAAAGAAAAAGGCATCATTAGCAAGCCAAACTTTCTGTATTTGTGCATTTTGCTGCAGAATTAAAAAGACCTTCCAGCCAATGCTTTTGTGTAAGGAACAGCCATGTACTGCAAACATGAATAGTTCTTTATCTCTCTCAAAAGTCCATATGCTTGTGAAATATGAGGAAATCTGCAGTTTTACCAGATTTCTGAAGATGGATTGTAAAGAGGTTTGGAACAAGCTGCCACTTGAATTCTATCCTTTGCTGATATTTTCTGCTGCTCCTGCTTGTTCAAAAGATTTCTAACTCCATTAAACCACCGCTATAAGCTTGTCAGCCTGGCTGTATTTCTCTATGTTCTTCAACAATGGAATGTAGATATCTTTCTGCTTTTGTTTCCTGGTGGCAATTCTTACTTTTTAGAATGAAACTAATAATTCAAAGTTTTTTTTTTTTTTTTTTTTTTTTTTTTAATTTCACTCTTTGTCTCTAAAAGCAGAAATTAAACTAATGCTGAGGATAGAGAGAAGAGAACATTTCTGGGGTAGTAATATGGCACTGGCATCCTCACTTGAATTTTACACATGCTATAAACAGAAGGGAGTTTTAAGTGGAAATGGTGAATATTTTTGCTCAAGACCTGATGCATGCATTTCTAAATGTAAAAAAGGGGGGCAGACTCCAGACTGTGTTTTAATCTGCATGGCTCACTGAGTGAGATAATATTTTGCAGATGCAGGTGAGGGAACTCTGGTCCAAGGTGCACTACCAAAATAACAAATATAGTGCGTTTTCACCTTCCCTGCTCAGATATTCTAAAAGGATGTAATGAGGACTGGGATTAATCTGTATTATAAAAAGAAGAGAGTCACACGTCTTTTGTCAGAACATGTCTGTCCTGTCTGTTTCTTCTTTCAGTGAGGCTATATAAGAAGTAAGGCACTGTTCAGCCTCAGTAAAGATCTTACTTAAGCTCTGGTGCCCTGCGTGCCATACACAGGTTAATTTTTGCCTTTTTTTTTTTTTTAAAAAAAAAAAAAAGTAATTTTCACTTTTCTTCAAGAGAATAAATGTTTTTGAAAGACCTTGATTTGTTTTTGAACAAATATGATTGTGAAGAGGTTAGTAGATTCCAGAAACTAATTGGTTAACAGGCTGGAACCAGCAAGAAGCACAGATGGACTACCTTGCCCACAAGTTGCCTTTTACCTCTGCAGTTGAAGGTCTGAGACAGAAGGGATGATGGAAGGACCAGTTGGGAACAAAATCATAGTTTCCATGGCAAGCTGCTAATGAAAACCTCCCTGGTATCATGCTTGTGAGAAACTCATATGTTTCTCTGGAGAAAGACAATAAATACCTGCTCTGGGAGGACAGAGTGCAGTATGCAGACAGTGCACGAAGTAGGATGCTTTTCAGATAACTGGCACGTTTACAGTGAATCATCCACCACAGTCCAAATTGCTCTATGATAATGGGGGTGCTGTTCATGAAAATCAAGTGTGTGCATTGATGTGCAGATGCTATTTCAGGTTCCTTGTAGGAAGAATCCTGTCCTACAGCACTGACAATAAAAGATTATGGTTCTGCTTAACCAGTGAGTATACTGGTAAGTGTTCAGGTGTTGTTTTTCTGGTTTTGAATAAAATCGAGGAGTTCACATCCAAACACTTGGTAAAGGGAAGAATCATAAAGACATGATCTTCTCAATGCATTCAAGAATGACTGTTAAAAAGAAAACAAATAAATAAAATAAAGAACATTTTAAAATGTCAGGAAGTTGGTACTGCAGTCTGTTATGTTGAATAGGGTCTTCCTGAGAGCACAGCCTGGATGGGCGGCCTTCTGGAGCAACGCTCTGTGTGGAAAAAAGGCACAAGATCTGTATGGATCAGCATATGAATTTTGTGAACCTTATAGACTGTTGCTTTTTCATTTATGAAGCTGACATTTTAAATGCAGCTCCAGGCAATTACAAATCAATTATAACCCACAGTTGTGTTACAGTGTTAATGTATTCGTTGCCCTGTAGTTGCAAAGACAAATCATCCCTCTTTGCTTAAGGTCAGGAGTTTGATAAAGATCATTTAGCCTTCCAGTTTAAATGGAGCTAACTGGAACTAATTATTAATCAGTTGGACTGAAAAGGAACTGATGCTCTCACACATGATATTTGTTATCTCTTACAGGCAATTTCCTTCCTTACGCCACTAGCAGTCATATTTGTGGTGAAAATAATCCGGCGAACAGACAAGACTGAAATTAAAGAGGCTTTCTTAGGTAATGTATGTCATACTTCAAGATGGAGAATGTGTGATAGCTCTCAGAGGTCGATTCCAATTGTAGTCTAAACCTTGAAGAAAACCCGTCTGCGTTACAGTCCATTACAGTGGTTTTCAGTGCAGTTATAGTTGCAAGCCGGCTCACAAAAGCCTTTAGTTTTATGTATATTTCTAAATGTGCAAATTCTGTGTGTTAATTCCATAGACTAGCTAGCAAGGGCCAGAATTCAATCAGCAAAGCCAAGACCATGTGAGAGACTGTTCAGATGTATGTTTTTCTGTCACAGCCAATCTATTACTTACCTCTTTCTTATACCTGAACCTATTCTAAATTAAGGGTTTGACTGGAAAGTCCTGTGAGACTCAGCTGCTCAGTGTAGGAAATTACTTCTCTCATTGTTTCCTCTGACCGCTTCTGGGAGTTTCCTGTTCCCTGTTCCAAAATCCGTGCTCATGGTTCAGCTTTTCTGTTCATAAACTGATGTTTCATCTTAAACTGCCAGTGGAGTTAGATGTGCACTTAATCCTGGACCGTGAACTGCTATGGCTCTGTTATGGGTGAAGTCTAATTATAGTTTTAGGCAGCAACCTCAAGCAGAGGAGACAATGTGGATGGTAAGTCTTAAAATGTTCCAGCTAATTCTGGCTGTGCCTATCTTTTGAAATCTTTCAGTGATGTATGCCCAGATCCTTTTTACATAGATGTTGCCAGAGACCAAAATTGACTAAAGCACTTTCACTGGCAGAGGATACTTTGAAGCACTAAGAACTGCAAATGGTTTTGTTGGCAGTATGTTTGAAATACGCCTAATTCTGAAATTCTCTTTTACTGGCTAATTTACAGTTTAATTTATTGGCCCTTAGATCATAAAGTCAAACTGATACTTAGCCTTGCCTTAACTAGATAGGATGTAAATGGCACTATGTACTGCCTTTGAAATTTTTTTTTAGACAAGGCTGGATTCCCAGCTTGTTCTTTCTCCAGTTGCTCTAACACAAGTGTGAGAAGATCCTAGCTTTGCTTTGGCTGCTGCCAGTCATTTGTAGTAAGTTCTGAAAGGTCTTATAGTGATACTTTACTGGCAAGTCCATTCAATAGAAATAACTTTGATTAATAAAATGCATACAGTCACACTTCTCTGAGTTTCACTTTCTATTGTTTAAGAAGGAAAGGAACTTTGGATTGGTTTCTCCATCACTTATCTCACCTTTTTGTTCTAGAGAGACATTATTTTGGCTGTTCTTGCCTTCTTTTATAATTCCCAGGAGAAACCTTGCCAGCTTCCCCAATATTCTCCTTGCTACCCAGACTTCCAGGAAACCCCAGCCTTGATATTCTGTTCTGCAGGGTATCCCTGTTCAGTATGAGCCATAAGAGTGGAACTTCTTGTGGCTTATTTATGTTCAAGTGTACTGTACATGAATATGATTCAGTATGTTAATGTGTCTGGTGATGGTAACTGTGGTGGAGCTTTGCTGATTTGCTGAGATCTGGCACAAAATGTTCATACTGAATAATCAAGAAGTCCCCCCAAAGGTGAATTTCTTTAGGCATCATACTTAGAAGAGATCAAAAGTTAAAAGGATATGAAAATGCTTTGCCCCTCACATAACCATTAATATAATGAAGGTGATTCAGTGTGTCTAGGCTAAGGAGTAGTTAGCTTCCTAATGTAGGTGCTCTTAATCCTTCCCCTGGAAGTGCCTACATCTCTCTACTGACTAGATTCTGTGACTTTTGGTGGGCAGTCTGATTCTTTCCTAAAGGGAACAAAATGAGAGCAAATGTGGTTTGTTTATCAGTTTACATTCATAGTGTCATTTGATATTTGGATTGCCGTTGTAAGGCATCCGCACCAGTGAAAGCAAGGGTCAGTCACATATGCAATGAACAGTCAGGACAAAGCTCAACGAAAGGAGTAAACTTTACTGCGTGTCTCAGAAAGCAGATATTTCTACATGTCCTATTTTTTCAAAAAGGAGAATGTACTGCTGTGACATTGCTGTTCACATGCATTTGGCTTTCTAGGAATTTTCACCTCACCATAAATAATGGAGAGAAAACAATTGAGAGGAAAAAGAGAGCATGGGATTGAGTGGTCACTGTGGACATAGGTGTTGAAAGCAGAATAGAGTTTTGAACAGTATCAGTGTCTCTAGGATTGACTTGTTCTTTTATTTTGCTGCAGGTATTGCTATAGTCTAGAAAACCCTTCTTTTTTCCTTTTTAAAAAGAGGACTCTTTTTTTTCTAACATAAAGAAAAATAGATCCTATAACACACACAAGTTTTTATAATCTATAATATCCTCAGGCAAAGATTTTATGTAGATAGGATGGGTGCTGCTGAGTGCAGCATCTGGGGCAGTAGTCCAATGAGAAAATAGCTCATGTAGCTGTCACAATCAAAAGTTATATTACTGTAACTATTCTGCTGGAAATTGGAGATTTGCTTGATAGGTTTTTTTTCTGATGGCAAATAAAATTCAGTGGCTCTTACGCTGTAAAAGGAAGCTATTGTGTGGACTGCAACATTAAGTCAGTTTTAATCTGAAAGGAGTGTGTGCACTGGATTCACGTGCCACTGAAATCAAGGCAGAGATCTCCACAGGCTTTAGATGAGGTTCTTTGGAAAGTCTAGGGACTTGGCATGCGAGTACAAATAAAAAAGATGATTTAGACATACCTACTGTGGCAGTTCCTGTTTATTACTCCAATTTAACTAGGAAAATTGGTTAATCCCAGGAGCAAATATAAGGGGAAAATGTCAACATTTTTAGTCAAAATATCCACATCCTTTCAAAAGAAAAATAAGAAAATAATCCAATTCTAGTTTTCACCAAAAGACAATTCTTGAGCCTCAAAGTGGACTGCTTTATTGCATCATACATAGACACACACATATATATATATATAGAGAGAGAGAGAGAGATAGATATATAGATATATAAACACACATACATGCATACATACATGTCTGTACAGGAATTCTGCTTGACCTGAAGAGAGTAAGATTTTCATCTAGTAAATTCTAAAACTGGTAAACACAGTACTTGATTCTCTAATAATTGTTTCCATTTGATGATTTATACCTGTGGCATGATAGGAAGACTGGCTTTGCATAAGGAAATCGGATTTCTCGAGAGTAAAAGCAGAACACAGTCATGTAATTATTATGATGCTCTTTGGTCTGTCCTTACTCTGGGTAATAAGAAAAAAAAAATAGTAGGCTGCAAAGATCGTTCAGTTTTCAGTCCAGCAAAGGTTTTAGTTTCTAAATCAAATGCTGTAATGATGCAATTTATAGCTTGGTATTTAGGTTATTGTTCTGTTTGTTCATTCTATTTTGTAGCTGTTTCCTTGGCTCTAGCTCTGAATGGCGTCTGCACAAATACTATTAAATTAATAGTGGGAAGGTAAGTCTTGTCATGTTATAAATTATAGCTTTAACTGTTAAGAGAAATGAAGACAGATTGACAAATACAATACATCTTAGTAAAAAGATAGCTGGTGCTGCACGCTGGATTAGAGCAGTCCCCTGTGCAGCTGTCCTTTCCCTGGTGCAGGTGTTGTACAACTTCATTATGTGACATCCAGCTGTGGTAGGAATCTGTGCCCTTGTGTTTTGTTATTTGTTTGACCGGTTGGTGGATCCAGGCAAACAAGGAGTCTGAAAGGAAAGGTGTGAGCTGAAACCTGTTCATTAAATTGGCAACACAGAAGGGAAGAGTCGCAGCATGTGGGAGTTCAGATGCCAGTGCCACTGGTCTGATTAAACAGGAATCAGCTGAGTCTCTGTATAACCCAGTGCCTGTGCTTTGTGTGAAGCACGTTACTGAATGAGGTATTTCCAGGTAACAAGATCCACGGCAGAGCAAACCGTGGAGCTAAGCAGCAAGTGCACTCCTAGCTAGGCCATTTTTTTTGAATGAAGAGCCTAGAAAAATACCAGCACCCAAAATTCTGGAAAAAAAAAAAAATTAAGGTATTTTTTGACTCTTATCAAAATTTTGAATAATAGAATCTGAAAAAGACATGTTCAACTTGAATTCATAGACATTATTTAATAGACCAGTGTCACCTGTTTTGCAGCCCTGAAGAAGCAATAGTTGTGCTTGGTTTCTGATGAACCCTCCCTGCTACAGTACTGATGCCCTGACAATAATAGTACTTGGCACTTTCATTTTAAGAGTGCTTTTGAAATATAATTAAGAATGTCTGCGCCACCTTCTTCAGGCAGACATGAGCTCATTTTGCCCGCACTCCCAGCCAACTAGTTGCTCTGTCAGCTTGTCTCTGAATCTGTGGTCATTCACCTTGCTTCTCTACGTGGTTTATTAGCTCAGGATCAGTATGACACCACTCAAGCCTGCGTGCTGTCGTTCAGCTCACAGCAGGGTCAAAAGAAAGTTGGTTTGTTCAATGCATCAGAGAGTCAGCATCAAGGCTGGCATTAGAATTGGGTGGTTGCTTTGTAGCCCAGTTGTAGTCCTATGTTAAGCTAGATATATAGGCAAGAATTGTGCAGCTTTGTGGGGTGGTGATGCTGCTTTCCTCTGTCACTGGAAGTGCTGTGCAAGATTGGCAGCTCTGGGCTAGAGTAACCCTGCATGTTCATTTTTAGAGACAACTCCCACTTGCATGCTGCACTGGAAGCTTCCCTGAGAGCACCTGCCAGAAAAATGTGATCTTGAATTGGGGGAAAAATGTGATCTTGAATTGCGGTTTAGTGGTGGATTTGTCAGTGTTTGATTTACTGTTATCAATGGTTTTAAGGGCCTTTTACAACCTAAATGATTTCTATGATTTCTGTTGCTGTGTTACGGCAGGAGGGAACGAACTCTGTATGTAATAAGCAGTAAATGTAATAATCACTTTGAGGTTTATTTGTTACTACAGCTTTTATATTTTTAATATCCATGGTGTTTTTTGTAGACCGCGTCCCGATTTCTTTTACCGCTGCTTTCCAGATGGAGTAATGAACTCTGAAATGCACTGCACAGGTGACCCAGATCTGGTGTCTGAAGGCAGAAAAAGCTTTCCGAGTATCCACTCTTCCTGTAAGTTCATTTAAGTGCAGTTCCTCTTTTGTAAAAAGCTGTCCTATTTATGTTTTGGAATTGCTTCTTTTTTTTTTGTTAGATCACAAACCTGAATTTTGCTGGAGGGGCCTGGACTTCTGTCTTAGGTCACCACCCCCAGAAATTTCCTTCTGGAAATAAAGTTGTGAGCCTGTGACCCGTCCTTATCATTGAGTACCATAGCAGGACTGTCAGCTGAGTGAAACACTATTCAAGGTTAAAGAAAGGAGTGTGGTTCTGAGGGTGTATCTGTTCCCTAATGCAGACCTCTGTATACAACCTTTGTCTATATAGTAAATATTTATTTAGTTATATTCCATTGAAGCATAAAATGTGACAAGGCATGTTTGACCTGCATAGCTTTGGCAAGATCTAGTTAATATCATTCAAATACTAGATCTATTAAACCAAAGTTCAAGTCGCAAAGACAGTTCAACTACTTTTATCATTAAGGTTTCTTCACGGGAGGTTGTATGCTTGAGGGTGGAAGGGGTGGAATGTTCAGATGTCTGCTGCCCTGGGCACAGGCAGGAGGAGTAAATGGTAGTTCTGTTCCCAGCTCAGGCAAGCAGAGGAGAACACGTAGAACATCCTGACTGTTCTGTCAGTGTAGTAACACAGAAGTAGTGTGCAATGGGGGCTACAGGTGTATCAATAGTATCTTATTTAGAGGAGAAAACAGAGGTAAATTTGGCACAGTTGGGAGTTTCTCTGCTTTCTTGTCTGCTCCTAGGACAGCACAGTCACTTGTCACTCTATTTGGCTTTGAGGTTGTCCTCAGTCTGGGTCTGATCAGCTACTCCTAGCTTCTGCTGTATCCTGACAAACGTTAGGTGGCTTTATGAAAACTCGTTATGTCTGATTTAATTAGTTGGATTAAATCAGATGTTTACAAAGGTTCCTTTCTCTGTATTGAGGAGCTGACTTCTAGAGTGTTTTATGTCAATTGTCTAATAAAACTTATTTTCATCTGTAAAATAATTTGATTGCTGTGAGGGGTTTTTTTTTGGGTGTGTTTTTTGTTGTTTTTTTTTTTTTTTGGCTGGTATTGTTTGTTGCCTTGTGCTGTTCTGTTTCTGAGAACTGCCAACTGAATACCAGTAAGTCATAGCTCTGGAATTTGTTTTTCTGATCTTTTTTAAAGTAATAACTTCAAATTATCTAATTGTGCAGAATTATATATTGCAAACAAGTTGGGTAATGAGATAAATGAAATTCTGAGCGGATCTTGCTCCCTTTTTCTTGAGTCCCAGAAACAGATAAGGGAGTAGTAGATGTTTGTGGATATGTTGTAAGTTTTATAGTCCTAAGAAGTAAACCAATTTAGCTGTCTCAAATTAAGCTTCAATTACATTAAAGAGACAATAGCAGAATATATTGTATGGTGTTTAGAACAAGTGGTATTTATTGCTATTTGTAGTCTGTCTTCAGATCTGATTGTCATGCTTAATTGCAATCCTCTTGATTAAGTATTTCATCAATGTATAACAACAAAGGCTTAAAATACGTGCACGTATACACTCATGTACTAGAATTTACAGATTAGGACTCAGCAAGTGTTATAGTTGGTCACTTTTTTTATTGAAATGCAACAGCTTACCCTGAGGCTGCAAAGTGTGAGTTTGTTTTTGCACAGACTAGAAGCACCGTATGGGTAGCATGCTCTGCTAAGCTCTGGCACACATACTGGTTCTCTAACGAGACCGCTCATCACACAGCGAAGTGCTTTGTCCCTGTGCCAGTGGGGCAGCCACAGAACGCATATTGGGGTTTTAATTTTAACTGGTATTAGTTTTATAAGTACTGAGTTATGTTACTGCAGCTCACACAAAATTCAGGTGGAGCAGAATGATGGCCCGCTGTCTAGACCAAAATTATCAGAACAGCTTTCTCCATCACTAGTACAACACTAGCATGCGGCTGAGTTGTCTGTATTTCTTACCACAAAGCCTTTTATTACAATGTGATAAGAATGAAAAGATGTTTTATATGCAGTAATTTTTATCTCTTGGTAAGTGTATGCAAGAGTGAGGCAATTCTGCAGCTGTATGAGGTACTTAGGTATTATAACATCAGGCTTCAAACTAAGTCTCTGACAAGACTGTGTGTTTTGAAGCTCAAAATCCGTATGTATTTGATAATCTTACAATGCTAACCTTTGCTTCTCTGCGTAGCAAAATTATTCGGATAACCAGGATTGTCAGTATTATTTTATCAAGAATAGTTTATAGCTGTGATAATAAATTTATTCTTGCTGTTACTTCATCTGCCACTAGACTGAAGAGTGAAAAGCAAAAAATATGGGAAACATGATATTATATTATCTTCCTGGACGTATAAAGCAATGATAATGTTGAGGATATAGTAATTCCTGTTTGGAAATTTTGATGTAATTCTAGATTTTCAGTATTTTGTATTGTGTAATGTATAAACTATACCTCCTTTATCACCTGCTGCCAGTGAAAAATTATTCTCTTATTTTCAAAAAGCTGTTCTTCCTGCCTTCTTAACATGTAGGGAATTGCAAACTTTCCTTCCATAAACTCAGTCCAAGATTTTTTTCTTGGCTCTTTTTTCCCCTTCCTTCAGCATAAGGTAAAATGAATGAATTCCATTCTTCAGATTTCTGTCATCCTTTCTCTCTTTGTTGTGGAATTAGTGAAGCAGCACTAAAAAAAGGTTTTTTTCTTTCTGTTTCTATTTGCTTGGGTTTTTTTTTTTGTTTGTTTGTTTTTTGGTTTTTTTTTTTTTTTTTTCTATTTTTATGGCTGCTGAAATGTAAGTGGGGAGGATGAGAGTTGACATAAACTATAGTACCTCCCTTGGAATGATAGTTACAAGTGGCCCACTACCACTTGGTATTTTCTACTTCACTTGAACACATGAAGAAAATAAATCACAAGTAAAAGCTGCCAGGCAGCTCATAAAGAGAGGTTAGAAGCTTCAGTCAAGAGCCTTTTTCATCTTCAAAACAGTTTTTCTTAGAGCATTCCTTGGACAGGCTGTCAATCAAAAGCTTTGTTATACCAGGATCTAAAACCTCATCCATGCAAAATGAGGCCTTTAAAAAGAAAGTCTGTGGTGCTGTGAATGCTGTGCTGTAAGAATGTAGTGCAGGGATTTATTACAAGAGTGAGAGTACTCACACCCCCAGATGGCCTGATCTGACCTGTGTACTCAATAAAATTGTTGTGAACTACTTGTCTTGCACTTTAAGAGTCAACTTGTACCCTGAAGAAGGGTATGTTCTCCTTATTAGAGCGTAGATGATTTTCTTGGCTTAAATTACCATCTCTTTCATCCCCCTGTGCCAAGGAGTGCATGTAATACAAATTAGAAAAATGTAGGGAGCACAAACTGTTTTGTAAAGACAAAGAACGAGAGGTGCAAACTATAGTTTCCTGAAACAACTGAGGCAGTTTGTACCAAATCAGAACAGAAGGTTGACCCACATGAGGACAGGGTTGTTAGTGCTCAACCTTCTCTGACCGAGGAACAGAACTCTACCTGCAGTGGCTGCTGAAAATGTACTTTGAGCTGGCATACCTCGTTCAAGGGTTCTGTCCCCTAGCTCTGTCTTTTGTTGTCCTTTTACTGGAAAGATTGTTGAAGTTAGGTGACTCCTCTTGATAACTTTATAACAACAACTTGAGTTTAGAATATGCACAAGCACAACCCAGCATTTAATGACTCTATTGATATTTACCCAGTAGTGTGTGTTCTACTGGATGAAAGAAGTGCCTGGAACTTCTGGTTTGTTGACAGCATATTTTGCCTCTTTTCCAGTTGAACTGCCAGTATATCTTGTTTGAGCGAACCAGTGTTTGGGGGTAGGGAGCCAAGACTCCTGCCTGAATCCAGTAGCTCAGAGGTATTCCTGAGTCCCAGGTTTATATGTAGCTATTCTGACCAAAATGCTTCCAAAATGTAGGTCTATTTTTCCATATTTACTATTTCTATGGTTTTATTGATCCATTGGCAATTTTACGATATTTAAACTTACTACCTGTGAAGATACCGTGCAGCTTCTCTATGTCCATGCTTCATTGAAAGAATGATGTTTATGAAGATCACAAACACAGCATTTCTTCCTCATGCCTCTGTCCTTCCTGTGTGTCTTCTGTAGAGTTATCTTGCAGAGAGCCTTCAGGCAGCCTGCCTTGGAGATACCTCATGGCATCCTAACCTCTCAAAATGTGTGGAGTAAGCACACGTACCCTTCAGGGTTTGTTCTGGGTGTACTTTGCAAGCCTGTTATCCAAATAATAAGTCTCTCTCAAACATGGCCCTGAGAATAGTGGGAGTTTGTGAACGCCCAAAAGCCAGGTACACCATCTGAAAGTGCTGACCATAGTAAGGAGTGGGGGACTTCAGCCATCTCTGCGGTGAGCTTATGAAGAAATTTTTTCTTGTGTTTGGTGAAGTATGATGGGAACTGTCCTTTGCTGTATTTTTTTTAATAATTTTTTTCTGGGGGTGACATAGTTTTCCTGCTTCAACCTCCTGATGTGCAGCAGGAGTAAGAATATATTGTTTCCTCAGACCATTCCTTGCAGTGCTGAAAGTACATAACACAGCTGCTGATGGACTGATACAAGACGCTTCACCATTTTTGTCTCTTTACTGCAAGATTGATAAAGCAGCAGCAAGCAACAGATAAAAAATGAGTTTGAACAAAAATTCAGTTGTTTTCCTAAGCACAAGGAAATGTTTTAAAATACATGAAGTGATTAACGTGCCCACCCCTTCATTATACAGGAGGTGAAACTTTTACTTTCCAGGAGTGGGAGATATAAAAAGTTAAGTTGATTTCTTGCCTGTCTCTGGTTAGATAATAAAATGTCTTCTAGATCTTTGGCAGTTGTCTGTCACAAGGATGCTGGAGTGGACGGATGATGCAGAGCAAGTCACCTGTTGCAGTTGGGTAGAACTTCCATTCCCAAAGAGTGACGACTTGTTTGAACCACACCAGTGCCTCT